GTAGAATAAGTAATTTTTCCACAAGTAAAAAAATGACATGAGAATGCATAGTTTATCGTTTTAGTTTTTAGAAACTGGGCAAAAACTATATTATTTTTTCCTTCTTCACAAAAATCTTGTCTTTTATTTTGTTTTAGAGTATAAAAATATCAATAAATGTTAAAACTCAGATATTTTTAGTTTTGAAAAAACACCCCAACTGTCTAGAAAAGCACCCTCCAACAAACTTTAAGTGGTCTGTGGGCCACCAGTTGAGAATCCCATTTGTAGCAGGTATTGTGGCTCCGGACACATTTAATTTAGTGAACAAAGGGGAAGAAATGACTCTTGATTGTAAAGGTTGCAGACCCCTGATCATTACTATAGTATTATAAGTTCATAGCATAAATAGAATCAAGCTCATTTTCTGAGGATTCTTAAATATTCCCTTAATATATTAAGGTCCCTCTTGTAAATGAGTCCCCGTGGCTCAATGAAGCTAGCCTGTATAAATAAAGGTTGAATGAATGAAAAATTCCCAATATTAAATGTCTTAATATTGCACCTTAGTACACATCATTTCATCATTTCACTATCTCAATGTACCTTAAATGCTTCAATGTTAACAGGAGCAGCTAGTTACTTGCAAGAGTTCTTATTTTCATTCTCCAGATCAATACAAATGCAGGTGTTCAGAACACCATCAGTGACATTTAGTATATAAAAGTATTAATGTTTGATAATTATTTTTTCTATAGGCACATTCAAATAAATGTATCAATCACAGAGTCCAATACAATAACCTGGAGGCTAGCGCTAGCATGCTAACTCCAGAAACAAACAAACTCACCAGTTGCCACTTTTCGAATACACAGTCAGCTGAAGGTTTTTTCACAAACAGAGACATCTAAAAGTTGAGAGGCGTATCAGTCAGAAATGGCAAATAGGCATTAGATAAAGGGCTTTTAATGGCATAAAGCCTACCTACAGCCAGCCTGGTTGTGAGTGTCACTGCACAGATCTGTTCCCAGCCAAAAAAAAAAAAGATCAGAAGTACACTATCGGTAATGATGGGGTACAGCTCACGTTCAACGTGCCCCGGGCGCCGATATCTGTGCCCAGAATCTTCCTTTTCTCTTGTAACGTCACGGAATAACTGCGCATGTGCCATTTTTAACGAGAGTCTATGGATTAGATTCATGCGACCCAAGGGGCAAGAAATATGTCACCATTCAGACAACGTTTTTGAAAGAAACAACTTAACTCATCAGTAACTATAAAATATTTTTCTTACACAACAAAAAACATATATACATATATTGTGAAATATTTTTATTTTATTATTTCACTTTTATTTCAATTTTTTTAAGTCTTCGATGTAAAATGGTGTATTCACCATTCCAGAAGTTTCAGATGGGCGGCGCCCTAGTGCCCCCTACAGGCCAGCCGCCCCTGCTCCATGACCTTCATGGCCCAATGTGGCTAAATCTCAGTAAATTTGCAAAACCTCCTTTAGTGTGAAGGCAGTCAGGATACTGCTATGCTCATAATACTTATCTAACAGGCAATTTGTTATTTTCCATGACCTCAAGATGCTCTTCTGTGCCCACACTACACTATATATCAACAGAATCTTTTTACCACTGTACTGCACAATGGTCCAAGGCAGGTCATTTTTGTTTTGCCTGGGTCTGAGTGTATGTTTTTCTGTCTCATAAATAAGCATATAGATTTATATAAAAATCCAGAAAGCAATCTTTGAATGTACCTCTAAAACTTATTTATTTGAGTCAACCTGATTCAACATGGCTGCCACAGCTGATTCACTTTAGGAACACAACAATGACTATACAGTAACTCTGTCAGTTTTACAGATATTGAGCTAAAATTTGCTGTGGTAGTAGCCGAAACTCATTTCAGTGCATACATTGAGCACTGACTGATCTCACAAGATCTTAGTTTAAAACCATTCCCTGTTGAGTCAACCCTGGTTGTCTGCTAGCAATATCTTACAGACCACTGGATGAACTTTATGGAAACTACAAACCGGATTTCAAAAAAGTTGGGACACTAAACTGTAAATAAAAACTGAATGAAATGATGTGGAGGTGCCAACGTCTAATATATTTTATTAAGAATAGAACACAAATCACAGATCAAAAGTTTAAACTGAGAGAATGTATCATTTTAAGGGAAAAATCTGTTTCCAAATTTCATGGCGTCAACAAATCCCCAAAAAAGTTGGGACAAGTAGCAATAAGTGGCTGGAAAAAGGAAATTGAGCATATAACGAACAGCTGGAAGACCAATTAACACTAATTAGGTCAATTGACAACATGATTGGGTATAAAAAGAGCTTCTCAGAGTGTCAGTGTCTCTCAGAAGCCAAGATGGTAAGAGGATCACCAATTCCACCATTGTTGCGCAGAAAGATAGTGCAGCAATACCAAAATGGTGTTACCCAGCGTAAAATAGCAAAGACAAGTAAGCATTGTCAGTGAACACAATCCACTGTGCCATCCGCCGTTGCCAGCTGAAACTCTACAGTGCAAAGAGGAAGCCATTTCTAAGCAAGCTCCACAAGCTCAGACGTTTGCACTTGGCCAGGGGTCATTTAAAATGGAGTGTGGCAAAATGGAAGACTGTTCTGTGGTCAGATGAGTCACGATTTGAAGTTCTTTATGGAACACTGGGACGCCATGTCATCCGGACCAGAGAGGACAAGGATAGCCCAGGTTGTTATCAACGCTCTGTTTAGAAGCCTGCATCACTGATGGTATGGGGTTGCCTGAGCGCTTGTGGCATGGGCAGCTTGCATGTCTGGAAAGGCACCATTAATGCAGAGAACTATGTTCAGGTTCTAGAACAACATATGCTCCCATCTAGACGTCATCGCTTTCAGGAAAGATGCTGCATTTTTCAACATGATAATGCCAGACCACATTCTGCAGCAATCACAACATCATGGCTACGTAGGAGAAGGATCCGGGTACTGAAATGGCCAGCCTGCAGTCCAGATCTTTCACCTATAGAGAACATTTGACGCATCATAAAGAGGAAGGTGCGACAAAGAAGGCCCAAGACGATCGAACAGTTAGAGGCCTGTATTAGACATGAATGGGAGAGCATTCCTATTTCTAAACTTGAAAAACTGGTCTCCTCTGTCCCCAGACGTCTGTTGAGTGTTGTAAGAAGAAGGGGGGATGCCACACAGTCGTAAAAATGGACTTGTCCCAACTTTTTTGGGATTTGTTGACGCCATGAAATTTGGAAACAACAGATTTTTCACTTAAAATTATACATTCTCTCAGTTTAAACTTTTGATCTGTAATTTGTGTTCTATTCTGAATAAAATATTAGATGTTGGCACCTCCACATCATTGCATTCAGTTTTTATTCACAATTTATTTAGTGTCCCAAGTTTTTTGGAATCCGGTTTGCATAAAGAAAGCAATCATTTGACTAATTTAAATAGAATCACATTGATTCAAGATGAGTGTCTCAACCAGTCAATATTAGCCAACACAAAACATACAGTATCACTCAGTCAATTTTAAAGATGTTGAGCTAAAATTGGATTTGGTTGCAGCTGAGAGTCATTCACAAACTGCAAACCAATTATTCACATTATTATTTTTAAGTTTACTCTAAAGGGCTACAACGCCATCATTTATCAACAGAAGAGGATCTTAGTTTAAAACTCTGGCATGAAAGGTGATGTACATTCTTTTAATGAATTTATTATGAATTGTTTTTTAAGAAATAAAAGTTAATTTTATCCTGATGAATGCTCAATAATCCAGGTAGAAAAATTTAAAAAAGTTACATCTGGTCCTCTGGACATTCAAAAAAGAAAACAAAGCAAAACAAAACAAAATGTAGAAACGTTTCGTCTTTCATCCGAAAGACTTCTTCAGTCTGAGGTGCTGTATTCAGCTCAGTCTTATAAATAGCACCTTCTCAGAGGATCAACCAGTTTGCTGCTGACAGGCTGATGGTCCTCCTTGATCATGTGAGCAGCTGGTTTGGGCTAACGAAGGATCATTAGCACCCCGATGGCTGTTTGCTATTCAGAGGGGGCTGAGTGATACTAGCAATAACAGCATTGTAAGAGGGGGACAGTTGAACACGGAGGCCTCCACCCCTGTTTAATGATGGACGATTTCTTTTCACAAAGATGACCTCCTTTACTCCTCTCTCAAACCATGGTTCCTCTCTATCCAGGATGTGCAAATCTTCATCCCTGAACGAGTGACCGCTGGCCTGACCGCTGGCCTCGTTTCTACTTTTTTTTTTGCTTTGTTTTTTTTTTTTTTTTTGAATGTCCAGAGGACCAGATTAAACTTTTTTGGATTATCATTGATGGTTTCATGCAAATATATTTCCATGTAACTCAAAGTGAGAGGTTAAATGTCAGTGAAACAGCACCACTGCAGATGCATCAGTCACACCCAGCCACACCCATCCTCACAACCAGTGTGCAATTCACATGAAAAACCTGCAGCTGAGGGAGCCCTCATGCTGCATAACTGGAGCAGTCATGCAAACCTCTGCAATCTTTCCACAGACACCAACACACTGGACGTTTTTACATCTCACAAAAAAAACCACATTTAAGACAGACACCCCCCCCCCCCCAGTCTTTTGTGTTCCCACTGATTCAAGATTCAACCACAAGACAGAGGTGGTTCTATGCCATGTGACTGCATCCCACTTCCAGCTTCCAGTGAACAACAGGAAGATTCAGTGATGCTCACTTGTCCCAACACCCCTCCTTCTTTCTGCCTAAAGATTACTTTGCATAATGTATTAATAATGTTTTATTTTTTATAATGCAACATAAAACAAGCCAGTTTATGTTCTCCACTCAGTCACAAGGTGTTCTCTAAGGTTCACAAAAATACACATATGCTAATTACGTCTTCATTCAAATAAGGTGCATGCAGGTGTCTATATTTGGCCATTAAAGTGGACTAGTGGCTAAATGACAGCTGCATATTATTCATGGCTTCATTCTTCACCTGCTGTTGGTTGTAATTGTTCCTCTGCTGCAGAAAGGCGCCGTTCTGGTGGTGCATCTGGGGACTGACCGGGGACCTGCGGCTCTGCGGCTGCTGGGGGACGTTTATCTGGGGAGAAAATGGCCCGCTGAAACCCTGCACGTTGATCCCCGCGCACGGATTAGCCGCCGACAGGGGCGAGAAGCTGTGGAAGAAGGCCGGGCTGATAGAAGGGATCCCGGTGTAGAAGCTGTTCTCGGACTCCGCGCTGGGCATCTGGTTGATGGCGTTATGGTGGGTGGGGTTGATGGAGTTGGCCACGGGTGGGGGCGAGGAACTGGTCTGAACAGACCAGGGGGTACCGAACCCGCCGGGGACGGACGATGAAGAGGACGAGCCGCCCCCACCGCTGTGCATCTCCTGGGAGGGGAGGTTCGGGAACGCGGCTCCGAGACCTCCAGCCAACATGCTGTTGCTGCCATTGCCGTTATTAAGGTGGTGGGCGAGGGGGGGGTCCATCAGAAGCTTATGTGGATTGACGGAGGAGGGCGATGGCGACGCAGCATCAGCTGAGCCGCTGGGTTCGTCTTGTAGCTGCCTCTGCTGCAGGTGGCTGAGGTGTCCCTGGGGTGGGGGCACCTCTGCGCGCTCACCCAACAGCTGATGCAGTTCTCGGCCCGGCTCAAGGTCACACACGGACTGCCGCTCCTTCGTGTTCCGGCTGTAATCCTTCGTGATGGCGCCCCGCCGGCTCTGCTCTGGCTGCGGGGCAGGTCTGCTGCTGTCCTCGTCCTCGGTTGACGGGAATGTGTGAGCGGCTGTCACCCCCACAAGCTCATCCTGCATGTTGTGCCGATGCGCAGCAGCTGACTGGAAGAGAGGGGGTGTTTGTGAAGGACGAAGCGAAGAAAGAGCGAGGAGGCGACTGCATAGGCTCGATTTCAAATCATATTTCTGCTTTTCAGCTGGAGCATGTGGGTGAGACCGGGGGGGTGGGGGGTGTTCTGGCCCAAACAGATACTCGTCTCGTTTCTGTCGCTCGGTGTGTTATTTAGTCATTTACAGGCCTTGTTAGCTGGCTAAGCCCAAGCGAGCTCCCCCCTCCTCCGATGACCGGCTGCTGCTGCGGCGGCGGAGGATTAAAGATCCCCGACCGGAGCCACGTCACGAACGCTTCACGCATCCGTGCCCGCGCCTCGAGCCTCGCGCAGCAGAGGACCGCATTGTTTACGTCACTTTTTCATTATTCATAAGGTGCAGCAGGCCTACACCCTCTCTACCCACCCCCCACCCCCACACACACACACGTCATCTGGACAGTTTCGTTTTTTGTGCTGAAATGTTTCACCTTCGATCCGGGAGGCTTCATCAGTCAAGGAAACACACAAAACAAAACTGATTCTTCCCCCAACAGCTTACTCCAAAGTGGAACAAACCAGTTATGTTGGTGCTAAGATGGTCTCTTTTGGCACGCCCCCTCCTCCACTGCCAGCCCTCTTCCTTGTTGACAGTCTTGTCAAACTGGTTGAAAACAATACAGTCCATGCTCAATAATCCAGGTATACAATCCAACATTTTTCAGTCAGGTCATCTGGACAGTTTCTTTTTTTGTGCTGAAACGTTTCATCTAGGAAGAGGGCCGGCAATGGAGGAGGGGGCATGCCAAAGAGACCATCTTAGCACCAACATAACTGGTTTGTTCCACTTTGGAGTAAGCTGTTGTAGGAAGAATCAGTTTTGTGTTGTTTGTTTCCTTGACTGATGAAGCCTTCCGGATCGAAGGTGAAACTTTCAGCACAAAAAACAAAACTGTCCAGATGACCTGACTGAAAAATGTTGGATTGTATACCTGGATTACTTTGCATGGAATTTGTTGTTTATTTAGACAGGTTAATCCCATTGAGCCTCATTTACAAGAGAGACCTTTAGTTACTAAGAAAGTATCAAAAAGTAAACAATTTATTACATTTAATTTCTTTATTAACCCTAACAAACTTAGTGACGTATGTGAGGATGATAAGGCCCTAAGGTCTCTGCTGATACAGTCCAAATGTCCATCTGTGCATATCACTGTAATATATAATCCAACACAATATGCCAAATTTTGGTCTTCATTATTTTTTATATATTATTTTCTTATTTCAAACCGAATGCAATGAAATAAGTCATTTATAGTATTAAACCTCTCACCTATATTTCAATTTGTCAGTTTATTTATATAGCACCAAATCACAACAAAGTTGTCTCAGGGCACTTTACAGGAACATTCACATACATAAAAGCCAATTAGTGAAGTTCACAATCTAAGGAATCCAGCAGACAAATTGAATCTTGGCTTTGTTGCAGTCTCCCATCCTGAGCAAGCACAGTGGCAACAGTGGAAAGGAAAAACTCCCTTTTAAAAGGATTTAGCCAAAAGGAGAGTCTTAAGCCTAGTATTAAAACTGGATAATGTGTCAGCCTCACGGAGAGAGATTGGAAGTTGGTTCCACAAGAGAGGAGCCTGATAACTGAAAGCTCTGCCTCCCATTCTGTTTTTGTAAATGCTAGGAACCACAAGTAAACCTGCAGCCTGAGAATGAAATGCTCTGTTAGGAAAATATGGACAAATAAGAGCTGTAATATAAGATGGAGCTAGGTTGCTGAGAGCTTTATAGGTTAGAAGTAGGATTTTGAATTATATTCTGGATTTGACAGGGAGCCAATGGAGAGAAGCTAAAACTGGAGAGATATGATCTCTCCTACTAACTCCAGTTAAGACTGGCAGCAGTATTTTGGACAAACAGAAGACGTTTTAAAGAAGTATCTGGACACCCAGATAATAAACCATTGCAATAGTCCAGTCTAGATGTGACAAATGCATGGACCAGTTTTTCTGCATCATTTTTAGATAAGATGTTTCTAATTTTAGCAATATTACGCAGGTGGAAGAAGGCAGTTCTAGTAACATTTTTAATGTGGGGGATAAAAGACATGTCCTGATCAAAAATAACAGCAAGACTTTTAACATTAGAACTGGAGGCCAGATAAATGCCATCTAAGGAGGGAGAAAGACTGAAAAATTAATTCCTAAGGTTCTCAGGTCCAAAAACCACAACCTCAGTCTTGTCTAAAAAAGTTACATCTGGTCCTCTGGACATTCAAAAAAAAAAAAAAAAAAGCAAAACAACAAAAAAATGTAGAAACGTTTCGTCTCTCATCCGAGAGACTTCCTCAGTCTGAGGTGCTGTATTCAGCCCAGTCTCTTAAATAGCACCTTCTCAGAGTGGATCAACCAGTTTTGCTGCTGACAACCAAAACCAGCTGATCACATGCTCAAGAAGGACCATCAGCCTAACAATGGATCATTAGCACACTGATGGCTGTTTACTATTCACAGAGGGCTGAGTGATACTAGCAATCACAGCATTGTAAGAGGGGGACAATTGAACACGTAGGCCTCCACCCCTGTTTAACGATGGATGGTTTCTTTTCACAAAGATGGCCTCCTTTACTCCTCTCTCAAACCATCGTTCCTCTCTATCCAGGATGTGCACATCTTCATCCCTGAAAGAGTGACCGCTGGCCTGGAGATGAGTGTAGACCGCAGAGTCCTGGCCTGATGATGTTGATCTTCTGTGCTGGGCCATCCTTTTGGCCAGTGGCTGTTTTGTTTCCCCGATGTAAGACTGATCACAGCCCTCCTGACACTGAACAGCATACACAACATTACTCTGTTTGTGCCGGGGGACTGGATCTTTGGGATGAACCAGTCTTTGCCGTAATGTATTTTGGGGTTTAAAAGCCACTTGGACGTCATGTTTAGAAAATAAACGTCTCAGTTTCTCTGATACTCCCTCAACATATGGAATGACCACTGGTCTTGGTCTGGGTTCCTCCTTTTCACCTGTTGGCTGACTGGAGTCATGTTTTGTCTTTACATTACGGCAAAGACTGGTTCATCCCAAAGATCCAGTCCCCTGGCACAAACAGAGTAACCCGGTCTTGAATAAATTCACTCACAAAGTTAAGCAAATCCAAGCAGGTTTCAAATCCTTGAAACACTCGATTTATTACATTTCCGCTGACATAATTGTAAATTAAAACATGGTTTTCTCCCTACCAAACCATGTATCCGTTGTCTATATAACTATTTTCATCACAGAGCAGTGTTATAGATTTTCTGATTAATTCTATTTTTAACCCTCCTTATATAGAAACAAGTACCCAGATTACATAATGTTAATATGACAATACATGAAATCAAAACAATCAAAGGAGGTACTACATATTTTTTCACAGTGGATGACATTCCTGTGAATATGTCCCACCAGTGGTGAGCTGACGCTTGCTCTATCAATTTAGCCGCATGTAATACCTTTCCCTGTGCGATGAAGGTGGACACCGTTAAATCAGACACGTTAGACTTATGATATTCAATCAAATGTTTTAGCTCCGTTGACTCATTCAATGCACATTTGAAACGGTCCAGGGAGACTCGCCAGGGCACGTGCAAAGTTTGCCATTGTACCTCTGTTAGGCGAGTAGTCGAACTGTAATTAGTCAATTGATAAGTCTGGTTGTTCCAATCCCACAAATGTACACCATACACACACCCAGAAAAAGGAACCTTAGGTAATTGAGGATGACTCTTTATAGTTGCTAAGCACAAAGTGTGAGGGCCAATTTGCCATAGCATATCCCTAGCTGGTTCATGAGTCCAATCACACAACACCCTGTCTCTAGTTAAACATGGGTTAACATGACCTGTTCGTAGCATACTAACCCTTCCTTTATCAGCAGTCTTGCATAAGCTTAAGTCATAGGTGAGATTGGTCTGAGGCTCGAACCATTCACTTTGCATTTTTAGAAACCAGTATCCTTGTACAGTTATTACAGGTAAAACATGATACTTGCATACTGTAGTTATGTCTTTTACAAGATATTGTACCCAATAACCTTCACACATTTTACTGGTACATTTTGTCATTTCAGGTTTCAGAACCAACCAATGTGTACTCGAGATATTCCACAGCTGCCTCCACTCGTGATGATTGGATGTAGTCACCACCCTTTAGAAACGCTCCTTCTGCAGCTTTGCATGGAAAGATTGCAAGGTACACACAGTCCAGTTCAAAGCTTCAGTTATGTTAGAGAGCACTTCTTCTGTACTGCTCCACATTTTCATTTGCCAGTCAATTTCTTTCATAAGTATTTTTGCAGTTTCTGCTTGAGTCATCACCCCTGAGGGCTTTGTTGTGGCTGGTTACCACGTCGTGTTCAAGACAGCTGAGACATCGCCCTCGGTATAAAAGATTTATTTGACAAACGGGTTACAGATATTCAGAGACAAACAATTACATTAGGAAAATATATGAATATATTTGGAGCATTAAAGAACGAACCGTCTCGGTCTGGTCTTCCCCGGAAATGCCAGCTGAGCGTGTGTCATTTCCGGCTTTTATAAAAGCTTGAAAAAGCTAGCTCCTCTGATTGGTTTAGCCCTTCAGTTGCCATGGTTACTGGTGTAGCCCGCCCCCTGAAGGACGTTAGTTTAAAAAGTTTATGGCACACTGAAATCGTTCTTTGTTTTAGCTCTGTTTGTTTAACGTGATTATACCTTAGTGATACCAAATGATTTGAGTTAAAGTTGTTTATTTCTAGGAATAATTAATAACTATTAATTATTATCTAACTCATGTTTGCGTGTTCTTACTTGATCCCTTTTTATACTTCTGTTTTAGTTTAGTTGCTTTAGTTGGATTTTACTTAGTCAAACTATATTAAGTCTAAATTAAAGAGATGTGTTCTAGCTTTATTTATGTTAATCAGTCTGCTATCTGGCATGATTTGATTGCTTGTAATATATCAAATGTGAACTTGTAAAATTATCATTAGCTAATATAAGAAAGGTAAAATAGTTAGAATTAGTACACATTTTCTATAAATATAGTGCAACCCTGGAAGAAAGACCCACACACACTTTGTA